TGCATAAAATGTTTTGTAATTTGAGTGTGTCAGAAGTTGCTGAGTTACTTCTTGAAATCATGGAGTTTTTATGTAGTTACAAGCAGCGGGGGTCGATGGACGAATTACCGGCCGAACTATTTAAATACGGCGGCGAAGAAGTAATAAGGAGCATGCATCAGCTTCTTTGTAGAATATGGTCGGACGAAAGCATGTACGACGTTTGGATTTTAAGTAATCTCTGCTTAATAAACAAAAAATGGAGACCCCACAATCTGCGCCATTTACCATGGGATAAGCGTCCTCAACATCGCATGTAAGGTTCTATCGATTGTATTGTGTGAAAGATTAAAGACCACCGTCAACAAACTGACTGGACCTTATCGGTGTGGCTATAGACCTGACAAATCAACAACTGACCAGATATTCACCATGCGCCAAGTCTTGGAAAAGACCCGTGAAAAGAATAGAGACACACACAACCTATTCGTCGATTTCAAATCTGCTTTTGCCAGCACGAAATGGAGCTGCCTTTATGCCGCTATGTCTGAATTTGATATCCCCACAAAACTAATACGGCTGAATGAACTGACGTTGAGCAACACTAAAAGCTCCGTCAGCAACGAGAAGTTTAGCGAATTAGGAGACAGCGGCTAAGTCATGACATCGGTATGGACGAAAACATTCCAACTCTGAAAATATACATTGCAGTACCCGCTAGGGGAAGCAGAGAATGAGGAAGACCCCCAGTCCGTTGGAGAGATTGCACTGCCATTGGAGAGATCAGGTGAAGAAGAACCTGGCTACGCTTGATATATTGATAACCGGAAACTTTAAAACACCTCACTCACAGCCTCAAGGCTCGTAGATCTATTTATGTGGATAGGAATCACATAACCTCGAAGTTCCTGAAATTCGCAAGAGTGCTCAGCTGTTGTAAAACATGTGATAGAGAAGTGGACACAAAAAACCTATTATATAGACTTATTTCTACTCTATTATATTCTTGGCAAGATAATACCATTAAGGACGATCGTTGTACATGACTATGCTATACAATATTCTTCTCTGAAACCTGAAAGTGTGATTTAAGCAAAAAAAGGCTACGTATATAAATAAATTTGGAGATGGAAAACAGAAAACATTGTTGACGTAACTTCAGGGAATGGTGCCGAGTTGACAGTCCTTGATTGGGTAAAATTCCAGATCCATTTTTAAACGAACTTAGGTCCGACTGTCGTGGGAACAGTAACGTTTTTCACTAACGAAGGATGACAGAGACAAGCGTTATTAGATCGAATCGAACCGAACGAACTGTCGATTCTTCATGTAAATAAAACCTCCGCCTCTCAAGTAAACTGCACTGACCGAGTAAATAAAAACTACCTAGATTTTTGCAACATTTTTTTATATTTTTGTGAAGTTTGTTCGTCATATGTCAATTAGAGTATATTTGGCGGCTGTCTGTTTACGACGCGAATAGTTTGTCTGGCAAATTTTACCATGGAAAAAATATAACGATGAGTTTGTTTGAAATTTAATGTTTCTGTTGTAGTAGTGTTTTGGAGAGTCTACTTTATCACGAACACAAATACTCGAGTGGAACGAATCATTCAGTGAAGGTCGTGAAGTCATCGAAAACTTATCACTTGCGAGTCGTCCAACTACCTCTGTACACAACGACAACATTGAAAAAGATCAAGAAATAGTGCTTGAAAATCCTTCTGTTGGCATCTTGGAGATAGCATATTGGTTCAAGTTTTGTATATGAAACGTATCAATGCGAAATTCATACCAAAATTGTTGAATATTTCACAAAACGAAGTGGAGTTTAGATCGCCTAAGAAATGATCATCAGGGATAATACTGATGACGAAAAGTGGGAATATGAATATAACTTCGAAACTGTCCAACAATATAGGGAACGGCGCGCCAGAAATTTGAAACGGAAACCGAAAACAGTAAAATTTGCTGAAGGCACTGAAGGCCATCCCAACCTTATACACAGAGTGTGAAAAAATGTACGAAAGGTATTCATGCTTGCATTGGCCCAAAAGAAGTCTGTTTTGAAGACAATAACAAATATTATATTAAAATATAAGAAAATCTTATTTGGTCTGGTGGAATCATCGGGCCGTAATTCTTTCTAAATGAAGCTAGTAACTCAGTTACTGTCAATGGAGCGCGGTATAGATCGATGATAACCAACTTTTTATAGACGCAATTGGAAGAAGTTAATCTTGACAATATCTGGGCCCAACAAGACGTGAGTACGCCCCACACAACATGAGCACTAAAAAAATTATTGTCGGTACAGCTTGAAGATTCGATTATTTCATGAAATTGTGACATTGAATGGCCTCCAAGAAGTTATGATTTAACACTATTAGACTGCTTCATTTGGGGTTATTTGAATTGCAACGATTGCGACAGAAGCAAAAAAATAAAGTGGAATCACTGAATTTTAAAACATTTTGGAACAGAGTTGCCACCTAATTAAAATTGCATATACATGACGATAACATGCAGATATATTCACAAAAATATTTTTAAAAATGTGTGACAACCGTAAAGACTTTAAGAAAGTCTCATTAAAATTTCATTTGGTGACTTAAAATATTTTATTTTATTTTTATTTTTACTCATTAGCCTCATTGAAATGTAATATATTGCCGAAAATTATTTATGTGTACTAAAGTCTATTCCATTGTCAAATTCATGCAATTATCACTCATTAGCAGCTTTATTATCATATCTACACATACATACATATATATTGTCACTTTTCAACCATAAAATTAATCCTTAATAATCTTACGATCGTTTATTTCCAATCAAGGAAAACTACTATTATGTACTCTGTAGATGACCTTATATTAATTAATATTCAGTATTACTTATTATACAGTGAACAGGGTATATCCAGTCTGCCATGTATCATGAAATTTTAATACCTAGAAGGAAACTTCTGAGACATTATATACATATACATATACACCATATATTAATAACAGCCTGGCAAAGTGAGTCGATTTAGCAATGTGCGTTTCTCTGTCTGTATACACTCTGACAAAAATTTACCTCGAATTAAAATGTCACAGGTAAATGATATTTCAAAAAGATTTACTTTGGTAGCGCTGTTCTTCGAACTCTTCAGCTGCTGATTATATTAAAAAAGTGAAGGATATGTTATTGGAAAATCGTCAAGCAAGTGTTAATACCGCGACAAGAGAACTTGACATCTCTCGCGAGTTCGTTCGAATGATTTTGGTTGATATTTTGGGTATGAAATGCGTTCTTTTAATAGCAGAATTTTTTATTTTTTTTTTTCAAAAAGAAAACTATAAACAGGGTTCTTTGGACATGCTAGATAGTGTGAATTCTGATCTCACATTCATGGAGAGCATAATAGCTACCAATGAGACATGGGTCATGAGTTTGACATGCAAACAAGTCAACTATTATCGAAAGGGTTTAAAAATCAATGTGGTGCTTATTGTCTTTTTCGGTACTCGTGGTTTGAAGTATCAAATAATTGTTCCAGAGAGACTTACGGACATACATAAGGAGTACTATTGGTGATATTGAGGCATTTGCGTGAGAACATCCTTCGAAAACGGCCGAAATTGTGGGAAAATATTTCATGAATTTTATACGATGACAATGCACCATCCCATCGTGCCACGATTGTTACCGAATTTAGAGTCAAAAACACAACGAATACCATCGATTAACCAAAGTATTTCGTTAAATTTTTTCCTGTTCCCCAAACTGAAATTGGCGCCTATCCGTGGAATCTGTTTTCAGTCGATCAAAGAAATGAAGCAAAATTCACTGAAGGAGCTGAAGACCATCCGAAAAAGTGTTTATGAAAAGTGTTATGAGTACTAAAAAATCGTTGGCCTAAGTGTTGAGCTATTATTACATCTAGTGGGGATTACTTTCAAGGCGACAAAAAAAAAAAAATATTAATGAATAATTAAATATTTTACGTTTTATTTACAATTTCCAGGTACTTTTTGGACACAATGTATATGCGAATCAATCTCCAAGTTTTACAAAAATCGATTTAAAACTTTGCACACATTTTATTATCATTAAGAAGGTGCTAATTTGACGTAATGGCCATTATCAGACCCTACAGCAAAAGTTGCTATACAAATTGATTGTTTAAAATCAAATACTTATTAGAGTATACAACTTTTTTACGAGACAAGATATCTTCAAGAAATTTAAGCTAGATTATTCTTCCAGTTATCGCTGCAATCTGCAAACAAATTGTCATTCAAACTGATCGGTCATTATCAAGAAAATTACCTTCAAAAAATAAATGCCAAAAATGTTCCTTCAGATGATAATAAACGTTCCCCATTAAATTTGAAGTTTCTGTGTTTTTTTCTTTAAAAAAGTAGGGAAACTCGTAAGGAATCTTCTCTTTATAAATTTTTTTCCAATTAAGTAACTTTAACTTACGACTTGAAGGTTGATTATATCAATCAACGTGGCATGAAAGAACTAGCAAAAAATTTCTGATCAATACAAACCGTTAGTCGGTAACGTTTTCGGTTGCTATAAGAAACACATCTGTGAAGGGTATATAATTTTCTGTGCATTCGCACTTAACGTTTCTTGCTTGTTTTCTACGATAGTTAGTTTTTGCAAAATATAGCTTGAACTTTTTGGCAGAAACTTGTTATATATTTAGCTATTTTTTAGGAATTAAATGAATTACTAAAAATAAAAATAAAATGCAATGCGCCATTTTCTGCTCATGAATTAAATATTTCTAACCGTACCTGTAAGTCACCTTTTAACTAAGTGTTGTGACATTGCAATAATTAAAAAAAAAATAAGTTGACCAGCACATTACATAAGAAGTTTTTAAGGAGCGCAAAAGTTAACTATTTATATAATTTATATTATCTATATATTATATGTATATAAATATCACATTATCCTTATATAAATATAAACACATCACTATATTTCTAAATATTTATTTGTAGTGGATTATTACTCACCCGGTAGACACAGCACACCGCCCACAGCTAAAGATGCAACAAATAATCCGACGAGGAACTTCATGGTTTGTGATTTCTTATTTGTCAACACTTAACAAACACAGCCACACAAACGTTATTAATGTATTAAATATGAACTTTGAAAAAAAATAAATAAATAAAGATTTGTTTAAACACAATTAGAAAATATAAAATTTTACACAACAATATATAATATAAACGTTGTTGTTGTTTAGCTATGCAATTTAGCAAGCAACTAGCACAACGATAATTTGTAGCTTTTATGGGATATAATTATTGAAACCGCTTATTAAATATTATTTTTCTGGAATATTTCATAACAAGTGCACACTACCTGTTCAGCAGTTAGTGTTTTTTATTTATTTATTTTTTTTTTATTATTTTTTATTTTTTTGGTTTTAGAACTGCGTACCGTTTGCACTGCACAAGCTTTTGTTCGTCTATACCCGTTTGATGTCTATGGCGATATGGCGAGAACCGGGCACGGCAGCGAGTAGTTAAAGCGCTAAGCGGCGCTGGTGACACCACACCAACAGCGAATTTGCTTGCTGTCAGCGACGCGACGCGCGGCTGACGTGTGTTTTGCTACAATTCGTTATATGTTTGTATGTATTTTATGTTTATATATATTTTATATATATATTTGTATATATTAGTTACACCGTTTTGCCCGCTCAGCTGCAGCGCTTTGCACTGTTATATTCACTTCCTCCCCACCTTAGCTTTGTTGGGGCCTTCTGTTTTCACAATTCCGTTTTATTATTACGCGTTTATTGAATAAAGCAAAACGTACAGCACACAGGCAACAACAATACTACAAACAACAAAACAAACGCTAACTAATAAACAAAGTAGAAATAAAAAGTGTAAAGTTGTAGTGCTGAAAAAGTGCGCGCCGGCACATTCACTGTCACAGTCAGCGCTGACGGCGACGTCGCACACACAAACTTGCATACATTTGTGCATACATACCGACATATGAGTATTTGCCTTAGCAGCCACATGACAATACAAACAGTGATTTTAATTCATCACTCTCTTTCAATGCAGTCGCTGGCTCAAATCCACAAAAATAAATGGACGAGCATACATATGCACAAACTTTTGGCGCTGACTAATTTAGAGACATGCAGAAGAGACATATAACGGGTTTTTCTATAAGAGCGCTAAAAAAACGGTTTGGTATATCAGTGGAGTTCTTTATTCCTGTCATTCGATGTCATTATGTTTGGAACTCAAGTTCTTTCGGGCACGCTTGCAGAAGTCCAAACGCTAAACCCAATTTTCGAAGGTTTTCAAGCATAAATCGGCCGAAAATGCTGCAATTTCACGTGCGATATTCGTGCGAAGTTCATCAATCGTGGCTAGCATACACCATAGACTCAACGTAATCCCACAGGAAATAGTCTAAAGGCGTCAAGTCCCACGATCGAGACGACCAATTGACTGGACCATTTCATGAGCTAACACATTCACCAACCTTGGGTTTCAATAAATCGATTGTCCGTCCTGTTGGAACCACATATTATCCTAGTCCCATATCATCCAATTCGAGCCAAAAATATTCGGTTATCATTGAGCGGTAGTGATTTCCATTCACAGTGGTGTGCCGGTCTTGAGCTTCATGGAGGAAATACGGCACAATGACGCCGCCGGCCCATAAACCGTGCCAAATGGTAATTTTTTCGGGACTCAATGGAGACTCATGGAGTATGTGTGTATTGCTGCTTGACCAATAACCTATAATTTACTTATTGACGGAGTTATTCGGCCAAAAATGAGCCTCATAGCTGAAGATTATTTTACGAGGAAAATCCGAATAATTTTCAAGTTGTTGCTCAGCCCAATTCACGAACATTCGACGATTCTGGTGGCCAAGCGGCTTCAGTTCCGTGACTGATTTGTGTCTTTCTCAATTGATGCGCTAGCGGCAGCAACATTCTCGACACTAAGGGCACTTCCTTGTCGCACTGGCACGGGAACATTTTGTACTGTGCCTGTGGATTCAAATTTGTTCACTAAACGCTCAGTTGTAAATCTGACAAGACGATTGTAATGACCATAAATTGGACATAGCGCTCTTAAAGTTGAGGTCACTGACTCCAAATTTCGATAGTAAATATTAATAATTTCGACTCATCGTTAGATCGTATACCTTTCCGTGATGAAATGACAAACCTTACTGAAGAGAAATGTTAAAAGAGCGGAAAAAAATCCGCCCTTATTGAAAAACCCGTTATAACAAACATATGTACGTCACACATACATATACAAGCGGCTCATTGTATGGAACACCGGCAAATTAATAACAATTGTGTTACGAAAAGTGTCCATGTATATAAGTATATATAAACACATGAGAATTATATTTAAGTAGGCATCTAATAACCATATAAACATATTTATGTGTACATACTTATGTATATGCTACACGATTTTACATCCTCACATATATGTATGTATGTAGATACATATTTATATCTGAGCAAATTAGTTGGATGCAGCTCCCCTGTTTATAGAAGGCATAAAACGCAGACTAATCAAAATTACAGATAATTTTATTTACATATACTGCATAAATATGTACAGCTGCGGTCAAATTCTTAGTAGTGTGTAGACGCTTAACTGTTAAAAACGTAAGCGATATCGCCTTTATAAGCAAAAATTATTTTATACCATAAAAGTCCTAACAGTAGGTGAACCAAATCACAAAAAAAGACTCACTGTTTAAACAATTTCAATGAATTATAAAAATAACAAAAAAATATAAGAGGGATTTCTGTGATCGAAAACTTAATAGTGTAAACCCGAAATATCGACTAAAAAGTTGCTTGACCTTTATTTTTCAGTATTGCAACACAGCGTTGTAGCTTTGAGTCAACAAGCTTTCGGCAACTTTCGTTGGCAATAGACTTGCAGGCGTTCTTCACAGCCTCCCATAGTTGTGTGGTCGATGTTGGCTTACATTGGGCTACTGCCTCCTTGACCATCAGTTTACAAAGCTGTCAGGACAAACACCTAATAAACTGACCTACCTACATATACATATATTCGGCAAAAGATTTATTGGAATCATTATACATAGTCACTATACAAAAGCAGCCAGATGTTTGAAAATCCTAGTAATGGTTATATGGGGACTATGCCAAATTTTCGCCCAATTGTATCCATTATAGACGCAACGATATACTGTTGTGAGTAAAATACGTTCTGAAATTTTCATTGAGTTAACTCAAATATTGGCCGATATATTCAACATAAAGTCACCAGGCAGTTCGAAAATCTTTCTATTAGCTTTATGGGGGCTCAGGGAAGTATTACTGCTGCAGGAAAAGGATTATATTGAATATCTTACACATTGCGCGATATTTTCCATCAAAAGTCAACTGTAGGTACTGGGGTCCACATATTCGGTACCTAGGGTCGTGAACAGTTTTGGTTGGATTTAAACAATTTTTTGTTATAAGGTGGCCATGCACCAAAAGAAACTGGAAAAATGAAAAAAAGTGGTCGACCAATATGGTACATGTTTGTTTATTTATTTACAAAGACAACAAAAAATAAGTAAGGAAGGGCTAAGTTCGGGTGTCACCGAACATTTTATACTCTCGCATGATAAAGTGATAATCGAGATTTCAGGCATGGTTGTGAACCGATTTCACCCATATTTGGTACATGTCATCAGAGTGTTAAGGAAATATTATGTACCGAATTTCATTGAAATCGGTCGAGTAGTTCCTGAGATATGATTTTTGGTCCATAAGTGGGTGACGCCACGCCCATTTTCAATTTTTAAAGAAAGCCTGGGTGCAGCTTCTTTCTAGTATTTCTTCCGTAAAATTTACTGTTTCTGACCTTTTTTGTTAGTCGGTTAACGCAATTTTAGTGATTTTCAACATAACCTTTGTATGGGAGGTGGGCGTGGTCATTATCCGATTTCTTCCATTTTTGAACTGTATATGGAAATGCCTAAAAGAAACGACTCTAAACAGTTTCGTTGACATAGCTATAGTAGTTTCCGAGATATGTACAAAAAAGTTAGTAGGGAGCGGGGCCACGGCCAC